AGAAAAATTAATACAATGAATGACAAGAAGAAGCAGGACAAGAATGAACACAAAATTCTTGCGAAATTTAAAATGATCACTTGTATGGTTAACTGAAAATTCAATGATAAAAGATACACACACAAATGTAATTTGGCATGAATACGAAGGAACATGCTGATTTTGAACATATGTTTCGGTAATTTGCCTCTGCTGGTTCAGATATGCGTGAAAAATAAGCTAACCGCCAGAATTATGTGGTGCTAACGTGATTTCGATATCGTGTACACAAGAGCTTGATTAAATTATCTTATAATTTCAGAATTTTCATAAACAAGCCCGTTGAGCAGATTTTTCTCACAGTCCTTTGCATGATCACTTATATGAAGCTTGAGTTAGGGAGATATTATAGGCTGGTAGAGAAGGTGCTTCGATTAAGTAGACCAATTATGCAAGCTGTCGCCTTTATCAAGGGTTTGATCCCAGCCTGATGGGTGTCATTACAGGACGTGGACCGACCGTTAGGAGAAGCGTCCTTCAGAATCCTGCGACCAACTCCTTCATCTTCCGAGGTTTCGCGTGACGGAGTTGGAGCGACACCCGATGATCATGAGCAGCGCATTATAACTCTGCAGCTGACAGCTGAATGACAGTGCTGCTGGCGCATTATAACTCTGCAGCTGACAGCTGAATGACAGTGCTGCTGGCGCTGCTGTAACTCTGCAGCTGACAGCTGAATGACAGTGCTGCTGGCGCATTATAACTCTGCAGCTGACAGCTGAATGACAGTGCTGCTGGCGCATTATAACTCTGCAGCTGACAGCTGAATGATAGTGCTGCTGGTGCTGCTGTAACTCTGCAGCTGACAGCTGAATGGCAGAGCTTTTATTCTCCCACTTACTATCTTACGTTTAATTATCCTACCAACTCATCAAAGTTTAATTACCCCACTAATACCAACTCTCCTGTAGCTACGTTTAATTCTCCTACAAACTCCTCTACGTTTTCAACGAGCGCATGCGTGTGTTACTCCGCGGCCGAGGTTCGGTGTTGAGGATCTCGAGGCTGCGATACCCACCGTCATTAGCTGTCACGGGCTGATCGAAGTGTGTCTGTCAGCCATGCCAAAGTATGAGAGCGAGCAGCAGTGTTTCTAACGACCTGTCACAGCTAAACACAGTCTCGGCACCGCCCAAGTGTGCTTATGAAGGCATATAAGCACAGGCTTTTTCTTAAACCCGTCACGCTTACAGTCTCCGCTGACCATGCAGCGTCGCATCCACTTGCGCTATAATGAGCATCGAGTGATCACCGCTTGCTGATTTATAACATTAATAATTATTGTTTAGTCCTTGTTTTTGAAGAGAGAAGGTTAAAAAAATCATGAGCAAAAGCTGGATTGCATCAATCTGATCAAAAGTTTTCAGACAAATTTGAAATTTTCTTTTTAAAACAAATTTTTTTCAACAAAACTTTCAGCCAGTAGAGAAAATTAATTACTTTGTATTTGTTTCACGATTGAGACTTACAGACTAATTTCGTACGGCCACTCAGTATCATGCAACATCGTCACCTTCTTCATGTATGTTAGGTTGATTTCTTATGTATAACTTTTAGGTCAATAACAAAAATGATCAAATTTAATAGAACCAAACTGGCTATACTGACTGACTAGCTACTGGAGAACATGCAGTGGATGACCATTATAAGCTAGTGCGTTATATACATAATTAAGCACTGGATCTTAATATAATTATCTAAATATATATGCATTTTGTCGAACTATGACACTACTCACATGAGTGAGATTCAGGCGCCAGGATTTTGCTTTATAAAGAATACTCGCATTAGGGGGATCTTGTATATACGAGGTGACCAGCGCTGTATGCTAAGCAGTTCATAATTGACATTAACAGATGCCCGATAAGCTTGAGATTGGCATTAATGGGTTTGCCTGATCGCACGGTGTAGCCTGACGCTTGGCCGGATATTCCATCACGGAGGTTCTTTCTTATTTTTTACTGACCGATAAGGTAGCATTCACGAAACATGAGTTCCATGAACGTTGCGATAACCTTACATAAAATTTTTTAAGCCTGTGTTATGCAAAAAATTTGACTAAAATTTATGGTATAGGTGCACGATTTAATATTGTCGAAATAATCTGTGAAATAGGATCGGAAATTGAATACTTCCCATACGACGCAAGAGATAAAATTTCCGTATAAGTATATTCTAGCATCATTATAGGCATACGGCATCAATGTCAAATGACATCAATGAATTATATAGATCGTTCTACAGTTCAGTATATAGGATCTGTCGATTTCAATTTCTGTGGTTCAGTATAGAATCTTCTGCATGTCAGCAAGTTTTATAGTTCAGTAGATAATTATATATACCGTCATCTCTGCAGTTGGTCAGGTCAGTTGAATTTCCTGCAATCAAGTTCTGCAGTTAAAATAGGTTCTTACTTCTACATCTACATCTACCATCATTAAGTTGTGAAGTTTAATCTACTGTCATCAAGTTCGTCGGTTTAACAGACTCGGCCGTCACCTGTCTCTAGTTCCGAAGTTCGTTCAATATATTTACCAAAGATTATCAGCTCATTTGAGAATTCTTACCGATATATGTTTTGGTGTTTAAATCCACAAACAGATTACCTTGAATTTATTTCCAGCGAGAAAACCACATGCAGTTTTTACACATGTATTAACTGATCATGGCAGCATTTATCACTTGACCACCGTCGCAGCAACGATCCTATTATATACATGATGGCTCGTGCACCGCGGTTGCGCTACATGCACGCGCGTGATCGCGTATATTGATTGATTGATTTTTATTCACAAAGGAGCTCTAGTTACAATTCAAAAGAGAAAAAGAAAAACATTTAAAAAATAATAGAGACATCCAAGTGAATGCCCATAAGCAGATAAGCTTCGCAGGCAACAGAGGTGATTTAAAACTCTATTCCAATGATAAGTCAAAGAAGTTAAGAGCAACAGAAAGTTTCTAAATTAAACACATACAAGGAAAAAAAACCTCAAGAAAACTGATAACAGGATGTCACTAAAATTAAGCGTAACAAAGCAATAGCAATATAACAGTGAATAAAGATGGGTAAAAACTTGAAATATAGAGTCAAAAATATTCAGAACCTGCATGACAAACGAAGTCAAATTAATACTGGTCAATAATAAATTTACGGAATAATATATATATGCGTAGCTATATATACAGGGGTCGCCGGGCTCTAGCGTGTTGAGAAAAAACCTCGCCACAAAAATTAACGCACGTATAGTAGCATGTCAGTAACGCATCAGCAAAACTACGCCACATGCGCATGACTGCAACTTGGGTGCTACACGCGCGTGATGGCGGGGGCGCCGCCCGTGCGTGAGGGGGGGAGGGGGAGGCACCACAGTGCGTGATGGAGGGGGGCGTGGCAGCGAATAAAGTGAGGTCAGCACGACAGCAACAGCACGACAAGCCAGCTGTGATGTCGGCGACACGGCGCAATATGGCAGCACAATATGGCAGCAATATTCACGGTGCAATATTGTAGGAGTGGCATGCATGGAAATTAACGACATGACGCATAATGCTACCAAAACGACGTATTCTGAAAGAGCAACGACGCCAAAAGGTAGCAGCATGTCAACGCATTATGACAGCAACACGTCACCAGAGTACGATATATATACCTGGCCACGACATGCAGCGCTAAAAACGACGCAATTCATGACGTCAATTGAGTTCTGCTTTACTCGACACTGAAACGCTACTCGATATCATGGCAGCAAAACGGCCTGCAGGACACGGTAAAAACACAGTTTATATGAGCCCCAATTGACATGGAGCCACACGAATAATTGAGAGCCACACGACTTAGATATTCTTATATGAAGCAATTTTTTATTACATTATTACACTGCCACAGCATGTAAACACACGGCAGAGAATTGAAGTGCATGCATGGATACTTTGGCACATGTAATCGAAATATCAGCGACGTCTCATGAAGCCACCATGATTTACAAATATGCAAGTGTACAGCTTTTCATTCTACAAAATATCTAAATATTCTTTATTATCTTTATTATTAGTTCTATAAGCGCACTATGCTAAACAGGAGAAATATTTGTGTACACATAAGAGAAGACTTTTTCGGGTTTTTGTCAAATAAAATATTTTGCTTCAAATTTATCTCGATTAAACTTTTTTATGTTTTTTTTTACTTTTTTCTCGATTAACTTTTTTTTAAACTTTTTGTAGATGCTCTAGATTTTGATGCTCCATTGATCGATAAATTTCAGCTGGGAAAGTCATGACGATGAGCAAATTCTTCTTATAATATTGACATGGCCGACCTGGAGATTGGAGCGTTCTCTTCGCAATTAACGACGAGGTCTGTGACCGCGAGAAGTGGCATATTGGGCGTCGTCTGAACAACGTACGCATCTTCTTCAACATTCTCCGCTCGAGCGAGTTAAAGAATCTCTGTACAGCAAAACCAGAATAGATGCAACTCGGTGCTCTCGAGAAGCGCTCTGTCTATTCCGACGCTCTTGAGAGTAATTTTCTGAGCCTGTCTGACGATTCGAGGTTGTGGCAATAACAATGGCGTCTCCGGTTTTGGTATTTGAACATTTTGCACGTCTCTTTGAAAGCTGGGGTGACTCCCTTGGCAATGCCTATAAATTATCCCTTCTGAACACTATACTGCGTGGTGCGTGCGAGGGCGTGGGTGTGGTGGAGGGCCGTCTGTCGGGAGGGCAGTCAAAAGTCGTGACTGTGTGTAGGTCTGGGGTCGTAAGGTCGTCTCGGAGTTGGTCTCGCGGTCGCGACAGTGAGCGCCGCCGGTTGGTTTCTGGACACGCCTCGAGTACTTCTTTGGCCAATGGAAACGAGCGCCAGCAAGTCTCCGCCTCAAGTCGTGCCGCTCATCGGCAGCCGCGACCAGACTCTGTTGCCCCTGGCGCTTCCTCAGCTTATAAAAGAATCTTGCTCTTGTTCCTGAGTTTATTCTTTCAACAATTGTTGTGAAGGTGGCACGATGGTGGCATCGGTACCTGTCTCGGTCAGTACGACATCCGGGAGCCACATTGGTCCTCTTGGCTCAGCCTTTACTCCTCTACCTGCTCGAATAAGTCAAGGTTTACCGCTTCTGCAGACGCTACCATTCCTACCTGCAGCTGCAGCGCAGGCTGCAGCCACCACAGGTGATAACAAATCCTGGTCGGGACTCGATCCAAGATTTCCACAAATCGCTTCTCTCATGGGAAGCTATTCCAGAGGACTTCCATGGAGTGCCGACCTCACCCGATTACTTTTGAGCCCTGGAGGAAGATTGTGCCGACCCAAGAAACGCTACATTTGTAAGTACTGCAACCGCGAGTTTTCTAAAAGCTACAACCTTCTAATTCACGAACGCACGCACACGGACGAGCGACCATTCCCTTGTGATATTTGTGGCAAGGCCTTCAGAAGACAAGACCACCTTCGTGATCACAAATACATCCACAGTAAAGACAAGCCTTTCAAATGTGAAGTTTGTGGTAAAGGTTTTTGTCAAGCGAGAACTCTTGCAGTTCACAAAAGCCAACATACCCACGAGTTGACTCCAATCCCAGATCTGGACAGTTGCTCAGAAACGGAAACTTCCTCGCGATCACCGTCGGATGTCCACTACATAATTTCTTCGTCACTCAAAATGCGAGGTCATTTGACCCCACCGAGTCCATCACCCGCATCGTCACCACCGATCGACATCATCAATATTCAAGAAGGAGAAGAGACAGAAGACCTTGACGAGCCTATGCTCACTATTGCTGAAGAAGTCCACGTCAACGAAGCGCCTGTGCCGAGACGTCTTGGATTCTCCATCGCTGACATCATGAAGAGATAAAACGCATATATAGACAGCAAAGTGCTTCACTACATTGGCATTATTTCGTGAATTATTTACAGTGTAATTATTTAAAATTTTTTATTATTTTCGTCCGTTGTGTAATTAATTGTATTTACGATTAATCCATGTATTATAATAATTTTGATTTGTACCGCTTTCGTCTTATATAAATATACATTTTATTGACGATTCTTGTCTTGTATATTTACCCCTTTTTATTAGTTGAAGTTTCTTCTAGACAAAGATTTAACTTATACAATTGAACCTAAAAATGAAAACATGCAGATATCATAGTATTTCGATTCATTGTAATTATTTCTGAAATTATTTTCAACGTGCAAGTCTGAAGCCAATCCATATACTGTAGAACGGTTATTCAAAACAAAACTCTACGGAAGAAAATACGCATCTCACAGAAAATCTTCTGAATCTGAACTGGATCGTGGATAATGGATCCAAGAGAGAATTATGTAAAATAATAATTTATACATAAAATAGGAGAAGCATATTCCATTTGGGAAATCAATAGGATGCGAAGATGAATAGATATCAGTAATATTTCGATATCTAGTAGAAAGAATAAGAATAAAAATTTCTTATACATTTCGACCTCTAAAAAATAGGAGTCTATCAGACTTTTAACCTATCAATATATGCTGCTAAATGGTCTCTGCAATTATTATTTACAGAATAATGCTACAATAAGTATTTTGAGGAAAATAACATTTTTTGTTTGCATTATATTGGTAATTCAGCGAGTTAAAATTAAAATTTTAATTTTGAACATCTACAAAATAATTTTTTATTAATTCTGATCGATTGCTGGAAATTCAAGTTTTTTAGCAAAACGTTAAAAATTTTATATATTAAGTTAGAGTTGGTATGAAATTAAACTGTAATAAATGATTATTCATTATTTTTTTGTGAATTAAAAAAAATATTGGCAATAAAAATGGCTCGATAGAAATTATTGAAACTAAAATATGCAATAACTTGTCCTCAATATGCAATAATTTGCATATTGAAATAATTTGCATATGCAGTAATTTGCATATATTTTCGATATTCAATTATTTGTCCTCAATCAAAAATTTTTAAATTGATAATAAATCACTGTCGTAATTTAATATGAATTGGACGTAAAGAATATCAATTTTGCTTAGCTGATATTCATGCGTTTAGTGACGTCACAATATATACGTATAAACCAGGCAGAATGTTCCATATAGGGCATGCAGTAGCTTTGGGCATGTCGTGCACCGACATGGCATGTGGTGCCCGGCTAGGTGGTAATTACTCAGTCCGTCTCAATGATGTCTCATGTGTCGCAATATGTTGACCGTGCAAGACACTTCTGCCTCAATACAATCTTCCAGAGGAGGCATGGGAAAAGGTTCCCATGCATGGGGCCCACAGGTCGGTGGAAAAGATCCAGGAACGTAAATTACTGAATTGTTTTATATTGAGAAAGTTTTCCGGTGTTAAAACTGGTAGAAGTCAGGCAGATGTATGAAAATTTGTTGAATTGGCTTCAAGCGTGGATGTGTTGTTAATTTCATTGCTGAATATAAATTTTTCATACATTTTCGGTGTGATTTAGCTTAAATAAATTTAGTCAAGGATTTGGACAAAATTCAAAATAACAAAATAATGTTCGAATTTACTTCGAAAATTATTTACAAATAGTTAGTATATTAAAAAACACTCAACCTGTCTCTCGTAAATTACCTGTGATTTTTTCCAAGCAATACCTATAATTGAATTTTCCTGCTTTCAGTCCTGCCAGCTTTACCGATTGACTTAGTTTTTTGAAGAGAGCGTCATGCGCCGTGTGAGGTGTCCGCACAATGATCGGAATTCTCCCAAGGAAATATGGACGAGAGGTTGCAATTTTCGGACGTTTTTTTGAGGTCAGGCCTGAGGCAAACTTCAATACAAGTTCACCGTCGGCTGTGTCTCAGCCTTTCTGGGTGTGGACTACAAAAAAATATGTACTAAGAAATTAATTTAAAAAATAACTGAAACATAAACATTAATGAAGCTTTAGATATGAAAAGCTTGCTTTTATGTGGATAAATTTACACTTCTTGACGATTCTCGAAGTAAACATTCAATACTTAATCAATCTCATCGGCTTTTCGATATTGGAACTTAAAATGTTACAAGAACCATCTCATTGCCGTGGCCATCAATCTGAACTACGTATATTGTTTAATTGCGAATAAAACGAACAAATGTTGATAAGGTTCGTTTACGTGTAATTTAATTAAGAAATTTGTTTAAATTTCATGTGGGAGGATTCATAATTGCTAATGTTACATCAGGTAGACTGGATACGTTTATTTCGGAGTGTGTGGCAACAGCGATCGCCACGGATTCGATTTGGTCTCTTTGGTGCAACCAAAAATGCGATAGGCCCCAAAAAAACTGTCGCTTTTTTTGCAAGATTGTGATTTGTACTACTGGTTAGCTTTATTCCAAAAAGAGTTACGAATGTGTTACAAAGTGAATGTGTTACATTCATTCATAAAATGTTACAAGAAATTAATGAACAAATGCTTCCCTCTTAGCGTGAATTTCTTTCCAAATTTGCGTGGTCCGTGATCATTCGAAACACTTTGTTCGAATATCTTAACATACCAATCATTATCAATTCGTGTCGAAGAAAATAATGCTATTGAGAAGGTCATGTTCTGAGATTCACCGATGTTAAAATTAATAATTAATAATTAATAATTAATAATTAATAATTAATAATTAATAATTAATAATTAATATCAGACAGACAGACAGACAGACAGACAGACAGACAGACAGACAGACAGACAGACAGACGGACATGGCGAGCACAATAGTGCATTTTTTCCATTCCCCCCAAAATTCCTCCACCCAACTTTCTTTCTTTTATTTTTAGAAAAATTTACACCTAAAAAAGTCTTAGATTTCTATTTTACATTTGTTTACCAATTTTCAAAATGATCCGTCCGTAGATAGAATTTTTTTTACTAAAATGTTCCCCTAAGGCCTAAAGTGTCAGCAAAAACTACACGTTACTAATTAGCAAAAAAAAAATGCTTCTAATAATGGACTTCTATTCCTTCTATTTATTTCTAATAGTATAGTTTCTTCAATTAATAGACAAAAAAACGCTATATACTTCTATCATTAACGTCAGCGAGTATTGCAGAATGTCTTCTGTAGCTGCTGGGTAGGAGGGCTAACATCATGATCGTGCTGACCCGCAGCGGGTGCCAGGTACTGTGGTGGGCTGAGGCGTTTGTCAAAGTCGGGAAAGTGCGACAGAGAGTTCGTCCGCCGGTGCGGTACAGAGTTCATCCGCCGGTGCGGCGCAGAGTTCATCCGCCGGTGCGGCGCAGAGTTCATCTGCCGGTGCGGCACAGAGTTCATCCGCCGGTGCGGCACAGAGTTCATCCGCCGGTGCGGTACAGAGTTCATCCGCCGGTGTATGCAGGAGCCCCACACGAGACTGTGTTGATGCAGGGGCCCCACAAGAGACTGTGTTGATGCAGGAGCCCCACACGAGACTGTGTTGATGCAGGGCCCCCACACGAGACTGTGTTGATGCAGGGGCCTCACAAGAGACCGTCCTGATCCCCTCATCCCGCGCCAGATGCTCAGGCTTGTGCTGGAGATCTTCCCTCGGACGCACGTGTCCATCACACCAATATTATTGCGGCACATCATCTCAGCTAGGTTAGCCTGCATCGTCAACTCTGTAGAGGCATACAGAACTTTCAGCAATTATTGATCAGGTAACATTGTCTCGAAATTTAATAGTATGAGTGTGTTCAAAATCGAGTTATGAACGGGGTCCCCGAGTTATGTTATGATTTGATGTTAAATGGGATTTGGAGACCATGGAGAACTTTCAGCAATTGATCGTGTAACATTTTCTCGAAATTTAATATTTTGAGTTTTCACAAAAATGAGTTGTTAACTACTCCATATAATGTAAATTGTGATTTGAAAACCATGTAATATTCATCATTATATCTCCTCAACGCATTCAACAGATACACTCACATCGTGACTGTGAAAACAGTATATGCTTCATTTCAATGATTCATGTCTATAAACATCATCGAAATTCACTATTTTCTCAGAGTCACGGTTAATTTATGACAGCTGACCACAGGTCATTGAAACGCTGCCACTAAATCAGCAGATGTTGAGGATTTTCAACATGGATAGCGGGATTAGTTCATCCGTAATGCTGGTGGCGGTGCGCCGCACATCCGGCGCAGCGGACCGGAGTCACGCATCGTCACGACGCGTGGGAGGTTACCGATGCTCTCGACTTCAGCTAAATAAACTGTGCCTGTTTTGTTAGCTCGCTGATGCAAGACCGGCGCGCGCCGAGACCCATCAGTCCTTCCTTGTAAGAGCAAAGTGAGTAACTTAATTTGCTCTTACAAGAAATTTACTTAATTAAACAAAGTAGGTAACTTTAGTTCATTGATGATTGACGCACTGGCGAGTGCAGAATTCAGTTCGCTTCAATTTCAGGTATGCATAATATCCTATACTAAATTTTTTAATGCCAAGTGAGGAATCTCCCATCGGTATTTTTATTACACAAATAATAGAAATCTAATGCATATCAGCTCCATCTTCGCAATATTTGACAGTTTCGAAACAATGGAGGTCGGACAGTTGAGCTTGCGCAGCTTAGCCTGAGGATAACATCATTGAACAATAGGCTTTCCCATAGCTTTAATATTCTTCATAACGGTGGCTAAAAGAGAGAAGTAGATAACAACCTGGTTATTACATGAGCGTTGTTGAAAATAGTAGAATTGACACAAAAATTATATTAGTATCAGAAATAGAATGCTGCTGGTTATCGTTGTTGATAATGTGTATTGTTGAAAATAAAATACTAAACACGTTAAATTTAACTTTAAAACGAAAATGTTGTAGCAGTATATGGAGGACGAAGAAGAGCTTTCAACCTTAACTTTTTTATTTTTAATATATTCTTGGTAATGGATAATACGTATGATGTGCCTTTAAATTGAACTAAAACCATACATAGACGACACATTTTTTCTAAGCAAAATAATAATAATAATAATAATAATAATAATAA